TTTTTCCACCATTTTTTCTCTCTCCTACTCTGCCAATTCTTGTTTGAACTCCACCAAAATTTTCCCAATTCAATTCGATTCTCTCTTTTTTTTCCTCTCTTTTCTATCTTGTACCACGGCTGCCCAAAAAAGAGAAAAAAAACCCCCAAATCTCTCATCTTTTTCAACAAAGCATAATTCTACTTGCTCTCGCTCTTCCTCTCTCTCTCTATCGCCCATTTCTTCTTATCCTTCTCCATATTCTCTCTCTCCTCTTCTGAATCAATCCATCCATCTCCCCAAACCCACATCACCAACTCTGCTATGAAGGTCTCTTCTTCTTCTTCCTCTCAAAAATGGCAACTTTTTTGCTTCTTAGAGCTCAGATTCCCATGGCGGATTCCAAGAATATTTCATCTTATGGGTTATTGAATCAATTTTCTTGGATTCTGATGCTTTTTTCTTTCTGGGTTTTCTCTTTTGTCAAAAGGGTTTCTACTTTTTTCTAATTTTTTGGATCCTAATCACTAAAAGATCTCTTTTTTTATCCTTTTGGATTTCTGGGTTTTGCAGAAGGTCATATTGAAGTTGGATTTACATGATGACAAGGCCAAGCAGAAGGCTTTGAAGACAGTCTCTACACTTTCAGGTGATTATCAATTTTTTTTTTCACTGTGAATTTTTTTTTTTGGGGTCTTTTTCTTTGGCTTTGAAGTGAAGCTAATTTTGAATCTACTGGGATTGCTTAGAGACAAAAGTTTTTTTTAACTCTTTGAAAATTACATGTCTCTCTCTCTCTGAAGAGAGATTCTGTGTGTGTGTTGAGAGATTTTGATGCTCCCAACTTACTCCAACCCCACCACCCAAACCTAACCCACCAATCTTTTGGCTGCTTTCAATGTTTATTGAAAAGAATGATTTAAGAAGTTCTAATCATCATAACCAATTTTTTATTATTCAAAACCCACTTCCAAAATTTCCCATCCACAACATTCTTTCAATTTAAAATGATTAAGGAAAAAAGAAACTGTTTAAAATCCTTTTTTTAATATGGCTCGAATTTACAACTACTTGGTTTGAGATAGAGTTCGATACCCACTAAACTACCTTCGATTCGACAATCTGTGTTAAGCTTGATTCTATCTAAGAGAAAAAAGAAATATATGGCTCATAAACTAACCACTATATTGATTTTTTTAAAATAGTTTAATTTTGAACACGGGTTCGGAAATTTAAACAAGACCCAACAAGTGGATTTCTTTTTAACTATTCTTGATAACGTAGGAATTTGAATACATGATCATTTGATTATCGATTAAGTTAGAAAACTTAACATATAATCATCGAGAGTGATTGGAAATTTGTTTGATGGGATTGCAGGGATTGATTTGATTGCCATGGACATGAAAGAGAAGAAGCTAACAGTAATTGGGACAGTGGATCCAGTGAATGTGGTGAGCAAACTGAGGAAATATTGGCCAACAGACATAATCTCAGTGGGGCCAGCAGTAGAGCCTAAAAAGGAAGAGCCAAAGAAGGAGGAACCCAAGAAAGAGGAGGGAAAGAAAGAAGAAGAAGGCAAGAAGGAGGAGCCAAAGAAAGAAGGAGAGGCCAAGAAAGAAGAAGTGAAAAAGGAGGATCCGAAGAAGGAGGACGATAAGAAAGAGGAGTCGAAGAAGGACGGGGAAAAGAAGGAAGAAGAGAAGAAGAAAGAACAGCTACACCCAATGCCACAAGCACTGGCTGTGCCGATGCCGATGCCGATGCCAATGCCAATGCCGATGCCACAGCCCGACCCGGTAATGGAGATGGTCAAGGCTTATAGAGCATATAACCCTCATTTGACCACTTATTACCATGTCCATAGCATGGAGGAGAACCCAAATGCTTGTGTTATTTGTTAAGTACTTTGTCTATGAAGCCTTTAATTAGCCAAGGGCATTTTGGGAACTATTGGTGATGCAATTGATGAATATCCAACCAAGCAAATCTACCCCTTTGAAGAAAAAAAGAGGCTCTCTTGTAGATAGGAAAAAAAAAGCACAAATATTATGCCTTTCAAATGTGTAGAAAAATATTCAATAAATTTTGTTCTTTTTCTCTCTCTCTATAAATAGCTTTGACTGAGAATTATTACTTTTTGTAATTTTTCATCTCTCAACCAAATATATTTATATTGTATTTTCATTGACATTAATTAGCTAGTAGATCATGGCAAATTTGAAATGCTATGTCTTAATCTTTGATTAAACTATGGATTGTGTTATTAGATTAACTATATATTAAAGTTTTAATTCCCCATCATCTAGATTTTCAAATGTTTCATTCAATATGCGTTGGTCAAATAGATTTTAATTGTTCCTAGGATAAATTGTTTAATATCAAAAGGTAGTAAGATTAGGTAGTTGACCCAAGCACTCACATTTATTTATAAAAAATGAAAAAAAAATAACGGTGAATTCTAAAAATACTATTATAATGTCAACAATATTCTCATATCATATCATATCAAATAAAAAAAAGTGGACTCATATGAAAATGATTTATATCATTCTTATTTACATTCTCACAATATTTCAATTTTACATGTTGCGTCAAATACTCATGATTATTAAAAGAATATTTGTTTGGAAAAGAAAATAGGTAGGGATGCTCACACCCATTTTGATGATGACTACCAAATCAAAATTTGTTTTTTTTTTTTAATAATTTTTTTGGAAATAGAATATATATATATATTGTGTCCTCATATTTATAAAAAAATTTAATAATATGGCGAACCAATGATGAATGCTGTAAGCATTATATTCTTCTTCTTCAAAGAAAAAAAATAAATAAATAAAACTATTCCAATATATCTTGATGTTGACACGTGGAAATTATTTAGGATGTCATAAACCCCAATTTCCCTGTTACATCACATGGTCTAGGACAAAGAAATGCACAAAAAAAGATGAAAAATAAAGTTGTTTAATTGAGTATGGAAATGATAATGATTCAAGTCACAGATGGTTTCTCATGTCGAATTCGAGAGAATTGAACTATAGAGATGCAGAAGTATATACTTGAATTACACCCCTTATAAAATTAGAAATTAACTAATAGTTTTTCTATGCATAGTTATGCAAAAATCTATAAAGGTACGGAAGACGATTTGAGAGTTGGATGTATTTAAAGCGATTCCTAGGGTAAGCTACTCTGACTCCCAAGTTAGTAAGTAATCCGAACTCATCAGATCAGTTTAAGACAGATTTCATACCTTAGCGGGTGGAGTAGAGGTGTATTTATAGCGGTTGACGGTGTAGATAGCTGTCACATTGGGATATACCCTTGCTCGCGCGGAGGTCGCCTTAGCAACCTCTGGTTATTGGTTTGGATCGGTCCCTTCCCTACTCTAGGCAAATGGATCCCGATGCAAGGTTTCCCCTTCTAAGTAATTGAGGCCGACCTCTTTTCGATTTTGTTCGAATAGGACGTCTACCGTTTGGCCCCAACACATATTTTCCATGCTACAACACACTAAATAAATTATATGTGTGTGGCCACATAATACTAAAATTTCCAACAATAATTACTCTAAAGATGAAGGGTATTTGTCAAAACTTTGATGATTTGCCTTGAACCAATTTTGTATTGGTTGTTGAATAGATTTTTGTGGGTCTTTTTGGAATTAGAATGGAGCCCCCCCTTTGTTGTTTGTGTTTTTGTGAACTTAAAAGGCTTCAATTAATTCATCAATGGAGGAAGGTGGTGGGTAATGGCAATCATTGTCTCTCTTTTTTCCATCCCCAAAAGAGATGGCACTATTTTGTTGGAGAGATGCTACCTTAGAGAATTTTTTCTTTGTCAATTATTAATAATTCAAAATACCCTTTTATATTTATTTTTCCATCGACTCAAAAATGGTTATGAACCTCTCATTTGGTAATCATTTGGATGTTCTTGATTTTCTATTTTTAAAAATTAAGTTGAGAAATCCACGCCTACGTATTTCTGTTTTTCTTTTTTCATTTACTTTTTAAAAGCATTTTCAAAATCAAAAGAAAATTTTGAAGGATAAAAGTATTTTTGAAAAGTTAATTTTTGCTTTTAAATTTATTGAAATGTGTTTTGAAGGATGTGACAAACACACGAAAGAAATGGTAGAAATCAAATATAAATTTTAAAAACAGAAAACAAAAAAAAAATAGAATGATCAAGAGAAATGAGACGTTGATTAATTTAGTTTTATTTATTTTAAACTTGTTTAGGCCATAATTATTTTATTTTTAGTTATATATATATATATAGTATGAATTAAATTGATCATTGAGGGATTAAAAGTGACATTTTAGTACTTAACATATAATTTTAAATGCTTCTGGATGTAACTTTTTTTTCTTTTTTTCTTTTTAGTTTTTAAAATTTCACTTAATTTTCAAAAGTGTTTTTAAAAAGGTAGGTTACAAAGCAAAATAAACAAATAGATAGAGATAGTATTAATAAGCTAAAATTTTAGAAATAAAAAACTAAAATTAAAATGATTATCAAATAGAACCTAATAAGTTGCCCGGTTTTCTTTTAAGCTAAAATTTTAGAAATAAAAAATTAAAATTAAAATGATTATCAAATAGAACCTAATAAATTGTCCCGTTTTTTTTAAACTCATTGATTTCGAATCTCCATATTAATTTTTTTCTTAAACTCTCAAATAGTTTGAAACCGTTAAAAAAGAATCAAACTTTTTTTTGTTGCACGATCAAATCATTCATCCCTTCAAAATAATAATACAAAAATGTTAAATAATTTATTAAATTAAAACAAAGAGCATTTTTTAACTCTAATAATATAAACGAGTCAAATTTTGAACCAACGAAAAGGTGACATGTGAACAATAATCTCACAAATACAATGAGATGTTGCTGACAAGGTAGATGATGTGCACACCAATCATCAATTTTTTATGACAAACGGACAAAAATAGTTGACACGTGCGTGATAGGTTACATGAATGATTAGATTAATCCAAAAATTAGGAAAAGAAAATTTGACATTAGTAGCAATGATAAACACTATTGGTCATTGGTGCAAAATAATAGAGGAAAAGAACCAAACTATAGTTTACCACGTAACCAAATAGGTTTAAATGAAGATTTCCAAATTCGTATTTTTTAGTCGGGTAACAAATCAAATTATCGACAATTAAGAGGGTAATAAATGTCTTTATATACTTGGTGTATGTTCGAATTCACACTCATTTTTATAATTTTGAAATCAGAATGATGCAATGATCAATCTTTTTTTTTAAATATATTTTTATATCTTCTTTTGTGATGATTCTTTTAGAAATTGTATAAGATTTTCATTGTAATTTGAACATTTTTGGATATTTATATACTAATTTTGATGCAAAATATAGTCATTTCAACAAAGATGTGAATTTTCTTATTCTATCAAAGTGCATTAGTTTTTTTTTCCTAGCTCATATATATGGAATTTTCATTATAGAAACTAGCCTAATGTCACTACACCCCTATCTAGCATTTTAAAATTATATAACTTGACCTATGTAGTCAACTTGAGCATAAGCATAATTCAGCATAATTCATCTGATTAAGACATTATACATTTGTCGTAGAGGTTAAATATTTAAATATCTACCAATATGAGTATAGCTCAAATAGATAAGACACCTATTATTATTTTTAAGGTCGTTGATTCAATTCCCCACACATTTACATTCACACCTTTGCATTGTTGAATGCAAAAGGAAAAAAAAATTAAAGTCTTCATCTTATGTCTAGCTAAAAAAAAGTAAAAACTTGACCAATGTATATAAATAGGTTATTTGTTTTAAAAAAATGTTTAGTGAATTATTTTGTATTTAGGATATGATGATAGCTATAGTTTCTTATCATCATTAAGTAACTTCTTTTAACTGTCTTCATTAAAAAAAAATTTCATGTGCATCTTGAATTAATAATTTCATTATTTAACCCCATACTTATATTTACAACTATATGGAGCCACATATTTTTAAATACAAGATATAGCTATATCATTTTGAGATTTTTCACGATATAAATCTCTATAAGTAGTATCTAATTGGTTGGGAATACGCATAGAATTACACATTGGCTATACAAGGAAAAGTTAATGGTTATATAAGTTAAAAGGACAATATCTCTACTGCCATGAGATATTTTGGGTGATATCAAAAGAAAGTCACGAAGGCTTATGCTCAAAGGGGACAATATCATATCATATGAATAGATAGCATGGTCTGTTGTCCAACACATAATCTCCGAAAGAAAAAGGAAAAAAATGTTTCCACATTTTACTCAAGGACATAATAAAAAAACCTAATTTAACATATTTTGTTTTTCAGTTTTTATAAATTATTTATCGATACCTAACTTAAATTTAGAGCTCATGGATCTAGTTTGGCGTTATGTCCAAGTCAAACAAAGCTACTTCTTGAGGGGGGAAAAACCTGTAATTTTGATTGATTTTTCTTAAAAGTTGAAAATAGAGAAGAGCATCAAAGGAAACTCCTCAAAGTGCCATTCCTTTAGTTGCCTTTTCATAAAAAATATTAAAAAGGTCGTATTTAATATATTGTATTGATTTTTACAATGATATTGTCTACAAATACATGATTTAATAAATATTTTCCATATCTTAATTGCATGCATGTTCCACATATTGTCAATATTATAAATATTTGTCGACAATAATGAAAAAGAAAATGAAACACATGCCAAATATACATGGTATCAATTATTAATTGAAATTATATGATAATATTTCCTTAACATGGGAAATATTCTCTAAAAAAAATGATAATATTTTTAAAGATATGGTACTTTCTTACTCTTTGCTAATGTGGTACATCAATTGATGAGTTTGATCAATCTTTCTGGCATAAAGTCTTCAGCTTGAAGCTGGAGGAAACACATGAAAGAAGGTAAAAGAACGAGAGTTCGTGCACAAGGAATTGATAAGGTGCTAGGGAAATCTCCTTCGAAACACCTCTTTTTACACAATTTTGGAAACCCAGATCTCGCCCAAATAGAGAAGTGAATCTAAAGGCCAAAGAGAGGGATTGAGCTGCACGAAAGCTGTCGACCCCAAA